TGTTTACTTTCTTACGGTGTTGTATACTGTTTACTTTCTTATTTATTGGATATTGACTGTTTTTATACTCTCTGTGTTCTGTTTCTTTCTTACGGTGTTGTATACTGTTTACTTTCTTACGGTGTTGTATACTGTTTACTTTCTTATTGGATATTGACTGTTTTTATACTCTCTGTTTGTATAATGTTTCTTACTTACGGTGTTGTATACTGTTTACTTTCTTATTTATTGGATATTGACTGTTTTTATACTCTCTGTGTTCTGTTTCTTTCTTACGGTGTTGTATAATGTTTACTTTCTTACGGTGTTGTATACTGTTTACTTTCTTATTTATTGGATATTGACTGTTTTTATACTCTCTGTGTTCTGTTTCTTTCTTACGGTGTTGTATACTGTTTACTTTCTTACGGTGTTGTATACTGTTTACTTTCTTATTGGATATTGACTGTTAAGTGCTGTTAAGTGTTAATTTTTGAAGGTTTTTTTAATTTGATTTATTTTCAAACAACAGTGGTGTATAGTGGTTTATTTGGGCCCAAACAAGTTGTGATTTGGGGGTGGGAGGAAATTACCTCAGTAACTCAGAATTTTTGGTAACTCGGCATTGCTTTAGCCTCATATTTTCCAAGTTATCGAGTGATTACTGTATATAGAGAGAGACGAAATCATTACCTTGTCTTACTCAATTGTATAAGACCAAAGTAAAAAAAAAAAAAAAACCTAGTTTAGCATCCCTGCCCAATTTCCTTTTTTACAGCTGCCTCCCCCACTTTCTTTTTGTGATTTTCTTTCATTTTTAAATTATTGTTTTTCGTTCATTCAAAGAAACAAAGAAGACTTCTAAATAAAAAAATGAGGTGTACAGAGTTGACTCGTTTTGCCAGTTTCCTTTATTTATCATAAATGTTTTGTTTTTTTTAACTTGGGCTAATGTATAATTGTGTTCAACTTTAGCTAATTAGCTAAAACTTGAAAACCTAATGCTGTCGAAAAACAACTGTGTTTTGATGACTCAACGGGTGATGGGTTAATATAGAATGTAAGTAAACAGAACTACTGTGAAAGTATGATACGAATACTTGTAATATCAGCATAAATCTTGTATAGTGTATGGTACGAATACTTGTAATATCAGCATAAATCTTGTATAGTGTATGATACGAATACTTGTAATATCACCATAAATCTTGTATAGTGTATGATACGAATACTTGTAATATCAGCATAAATCTTGTATAGTGTATGATACGAATACTTGTAATATCACCATAAATCTTGTATAGTGAGTTTTATTATTTCTATTATTATTATTATAGAACTAAATCCCCACAAGCTCCGATTCAGCCTCCCAGACAATCTATCAGAGAAATCTGAAGTAGACAGTCTGAAGAACCCCCTCTCTCCACAAAACTCACTGCAAGATCCGACTCCAGAGGACGAGATAATCATGTTCACAGCAAAGTCCAGGGTGCACACTCCAATTCCAGAACTTAAGGAAGAATCCTCAGGTTTGAACTGGTTACTCATTTTCAGCATTCAGTAAATGTCCTGTCATACGTTTGTAATATTGGTTAGCAGCCTATTTCTTTTGGATAAATCGTCTTTGGTTAATATTTAACTTTTTTTTTAACTTGAGATACGATCATAATTCAGTAAATTTTGCACGATATTTTTTTACAACGTTCTTTTCTAACCTATTAAGTTCTTAATTTTTAGACACGAATACAAAATGCTCGTCATGCACACCAGCGACATCTAGAACAATAACCGAAACTATTCTCCCTTGGAAACGTGAAGACGACTGTGTCGGTGAAGACTGTGTTCAAAGACAGAAAGAATTCCCTCCTTGGATCGATAATAAAGCATATCATCTTTATACTTCACCACCAAACACATTTTTGAAAAAACTCCGCCCCACGGAGGAGAAAAAGAGCCAAGACATCTTCTCCATTTTTGAGCTCCGCACTAAATTAAAAGAGAAATCAGATGACAACTCGTGCGAAACTGCCAGCCTCAACTCTGTCTGTGATGAGAACGAGAAAATAGATGAAGAAAATGAGGAGGATGTTGAATACAGTGAAGAAAATGAGGAATCTGATGACAACACTAGTGACCCCACAAATCATAATTCTGTTCATAATGAAACGGTGAAAGAGGTCGACCAAGAAAAATTCGTTGACCACGGGCCAAGACCCTACATTATCGACTACAGATAGAAGTCGAGCCAATGAAATGGTGTCGACTACAGATGAAAGTCAAGCCAATGAAACGGTTATTGAAATGCTCGAGGAGGAAGATATAACTAATCAAACCGAAACCAGATTTTAACATTTGTTTCTTGTAATTTTGTTACATATACACCTTTTTTTTTCATATATTTTGTTTCTCTGGCATTTATTATTTTGTAAAGATTTTGGTTTCGAAGCATTTACTTGTATAGGTAATCATAAAAAAATTTTAAATTATGTTATGATAGTTTATATTTTTATCCTTTTATGTAGAAGAAAAAACTTGGTAACGGTTCAGTGGTAACTTATTACACTATAAATTTGGTATCGACGTCCACGGCAGATATAGCTCACTTGTGTACTTTTGTGCTTTTAGCAACAACCAAACAAACAAATAATCCATGTGCAAAGCTATGTTTCGTCAGATCAATCTTCATTATTTTGGCTTTAAAACAGGCATTCACTGCAGTAAAGCAAGGGAAAGAATTCAGCAAATATGTAATAGTTGCTAATTGGTCTTCTTATACATTTTTTTTTCCTTCAGATTTTGCCCTAATTTGCAAAATAACTACAACTTTTTATTTATTTTGTATTAACCATTTAAAGGGAACACTCTTACAACTGAAAATAAAGTTGTT